TATTTTTAATTGTGGTAAAAAACATATAATTTACCATTTTAACTATTTTTCTTTTTTAACAGCTTTATTGAGGAATAAATCACATCTTTATTATTATTTTTAATCTTTATTGTTGAAAGCATTACATATGTTTCTTTTTTATCCCCAATGAACTCTTCTAGCCTGCCCCCATCTCCTGCCCCAGGCCTTTATCCCCCTATTGTCTGTGCTCATGAGTTATGCATATATTCATACAAATTCTTTGGTTAATCTCTTCCCATCCACCCACCTCCACCTTCCCTCTGAGATTTGACAGTCTGGATCTGTTTTGTTAATCAGTTTATTTTGTTCATTAGATTCCACATATGAGTGTGAGATCATGTGATAGTTGCCTTTCTCTGACTAGCTTATTTCACTTAGCATAATACTCTCCAGGTCCTTCTTTTTTTACTGCTGCATAGTTTTCCATGGTGTAAATGTATCATAGCTTTTTAACCATTTATGCCATTTTAACCATTTCTATGTGTACAGTTCAGTAGTGTTAACTATGTTCACATTGTTGTGCAATTAATTACCAGAGTTTTTTCATCTTGCCATTCTGAAATGCTATACCCATTAAACAACAACTCCCCTCCTATTTTTAATTTTCTGAGGAATTGCCATCCTGTTTTTCATAGTGGTTGCACCATTTTTCATTCCCACCAACAGGCCACAAGGGTTCCAATTTTTCCACATCCTTGTCAGTACTTACTATTTTATGTTTCTTTTTATAGTAGCAATCCCAATGGATATGAAGTGATAACTCATTATGCTTTTGATTTGCATTTTTCTAATGATTAATGGTGTTAAGCATCTATAATAATAAAAGTGTAATATGCTAATTAGACCAGACAGCTGAACGACCTTCTGGATGAAGCCCGGACTGCGAGGGCTGAGGCAAGCTGCCATGGCTGCGAGGGCCGAACCCCTTGCACGAATTTCATGCATCAGGCCTCTAGTCTTTTTATATGCTTTTTGGTCATTTGAATCTTTGGATAAATGTCTATTCAGGTCCTTTGTCCATTTCTTAATTGGGTTGTTTCTTTAGACTTCTCTCTCTCTTTTTAAAATCTTTATTGTTGAAAGTATTATGTATGTCCCGTTTTTCCTCCTCATTGGTCTCTTCTATCCTGCCCCCACCCCAGGCTTTCACCACCCTATTGTCTATGTCCATGGACTATGTATATATGCATACAAGTTCTTTGGTCTGTCTCTTCCCACCCACCCACCTTCCTCCACCTTCCTCTGAGATTCCACAGTCTGTTCCATGCCTCTATGTCTCTGGGTCTATTTTGTTCATTTGATTCCACATATGAGTGAAATCATGTGATACTTACCTTTCTCTGCCAGGCTTATTTCGCTTAGCATAATACTCTCCAGGTCCATCCATGCTGTTTGGAGTTCTTTATATATTCTTCATACTAGCCCTTTATCAGACATATGACTTGCAAATATTTTCTCCCATTTCATAGATTGCCTTTTCACTGTGTTAATGATATCTTTCAATGTGCAAAGTTTTAAGTTTGATGTTGTTCCATTTGTCTAGTTTTACTTTTATTGTCTGTAAGGGTGTCATCTCTAAGAAATCATTGTCAAATCCAATGTCATGAAGCTTTTACCTGTATTTTCTTTTAGGAGTTTTATAATTGGATCTTAAATTTAGGTCTTTAATGATTTTGAATTGTTTTTGTATATGGTGTAAGACAACCTCACTCTTCTATGTGGATATCCAGTTTCCCCAGCATCATATGTTGAAGAGACTGTCCTTCCCCCATTGAGGGGCCTTAGCACTTTTGTTGAAGATCATTTGACCCTATATATCTGGGTTTATCTGTGGGCTTTCTATTCTATTTCATTGATCTATGTATCTGTCTTCATGCCAGTGCCACACTGTTTTAATTATTGTGCCTTTCTAATATGTTTTGACATCAGGAAGTGTGAGACATCCAATCTTGTTTTTCTTTTTCAAGATTGTTTGGGTGTTTGGGGGGTTCTCTTGAGATTCAATATGAATTTTAGGATGAATTTTTCTACTTCTGCAAAAAAATGAAATTTTGATAGGGATTGTGTTCAATCTGTGGGTCACTTTGGGTAGTGTTGACACATAAAGTATTAAATCTTCCAATCCATGAGCACAGGTGCATTTCTATTTATTGTGTCTTCTCTAATTTCTTTCAGCAATATTTTGTAGTTTCAGTGTATAATTCTTTTACCTTCTTGATTCGTTTTATTCCTAATTGTAATTTTTTATGTTACTGTAAATGAAATTGTGTTTTTAATTTTATTTTTTGGATTGTTCATTGGAAGCATATGGAAACACAATTGATTTTTGTGTGTTAATTTTGTATCCTACAACTTTACTGAATTTATTTATTAGTTCTAAGAGTTCTTTTTCCCTGTGGTATTTTTAGGTTTTTGTACATATGTATAGATCAGGTTATCTGCACACAGTTTTACTTTTTTTTCAATTTGGATGCCTTTATTTCCTTTTCTTGTATAACTGCTCAGGTTAGGACTTCCAATACTATGTTGAATAAAATTAGCGAGAGTGGGCATCCTTATCTTGTTTCCGACCTTAGAGAAAAAAAAATTTCAGTCTTTCACTATTGAATGATTTTAGCTCTATGCTTTTCATATAGGGTCTTTATTATGCGGAGATAGTTTTCTTTTATTTCTTTGTTGAGTTTTTTTTTAATCATGAAAGATGTTGAATCTTGTCTAATGCTTTTTTCTAAACCAATTGATATGATCATGTGATTTTTGTCCTTAATTCTGTTAATGTGGTGTATTACGTTGCAATTTAAATATGTTGTAAATCCCATTTGTCATGGTGTATAATGCTTTTAATGTGCTAGTGAATTCATTATTTTGAAGCAAATATCAGACAGGGGCAGTAAACTAATAAGCAGATAAACATCCTATATAATAAAAGGGTAATATGCAAATCAACTGAATGGCAGAACAACTGGTCGCTATGATGCACACAGACCACCGGGGGGCAGATGCTCAACACAGGATCTGCCTTCTGGTGGTCAGTGCCCTGCCACAGGGGGGGCGCCGCTCAGCACAGCTTAGGCCCGATCCCCCAGGGAGCAGGCCTAAGCCAGCAGGTGGACATCCTCTGAGGGGTCCCAGAGTGCAAGAGGGCATAGGCTGGACTGGGGGACCCCCCCCCCAAGTGCCTCTAGTATAATATAATGGCAGATACTGATTAGCATTATAAAGAAAAGTAAAACAGGGCAGGAAGTTAAAGAGTGCAAACACCCTGGAGTTTGCAGTGGGGCTGGGGCTGTTTAGATACAGAGGTTTGAGAAGCCTTTTGAGGAAGTGACATTTAAGAAGAACCCAAATGAGGAACCTGAAGGAGGAATCTTGTAGGCACAGAGGACAGCAAAGGTGGAAATTTACCTAGAGTCTTGGGAAATATGTGAGAAGGAGGGTGTGAGAGTAGGAACAGGAGATTAAGTCACAGGCTGTGGAGGCTCAGGACAGTAGGGCATGTAAACCCTGAATCCTGAGCCTTCGCAGGGACAGCTCCTTATATGGCTTTGAATATTTGTTACAGGTTTCCCCTTTTCTTTCTATTTCCTTTGCCTTTGCTGTCCTATTTCTAGAAAGAATGTGCTTGCTTTGTTAACCAAAGGACAGATCCTGAGTTCTATTCCAGATTTCCTTTCAAGAAGGGTGTAATACAGTGGGTGGAGTCTCTGGGTCCAGCCAAGAATTCATTGTGATGTCTAATGTGATTTGAGGGGGAAAAAAATCATTGTTTCAGAAATAATACATTATGGTCTATGACCTTATTATATATCTTATAATTATAATATGTGTCTAATATTTTAAGTGTAAGTAGAAGGAAATTGATTTTTTTATGAAGTTCATAACAATTTTTAACTGGCAGCATGCATGTTCTATAGTAAGTATAGCAGTTACCTCCTTCATAAAAACAACGTGTTGGAATGTTTTGAATTCTTATGAAACACTTTTCCCAAACCTGTCTTTTTGGAGGGAGTATAAATTATTCTCATGCTGTTGAAGTAACTAGAAGGTAAAAAAATACCCTGGAGCTTGCAGATGTTTGTTATGGTCCTTGATAATGTAAGGAATGTTGGTATAAATATGCAAAACAGTATCAGAATGTGGAGAAATTATCTGCTTTGTCCCCAAAAAGGGTTTTATTTACAGTCTAGCTCAATGTTTAATATACATTTACCTCCTTTAGTATTTAATCAGTTTGTTTTTTTAACCCCAGAATCCTGATAATTTGATTTTCCACTAATAAAATATTTACTTGTCATATCAGGCAGAGGTCTAAACTTGGAAATTAAGAGTACTGAATTAAATTTAAAATTTGTTGAAAAGTATTCATCATGATGCAGTCTATTTAATGTCTTGGCAGTGCCTCTGGCTCTTCTCATTTAACATGTTAGGAGACAGACTGGCAGCATTTGTAAACTGAAACCTTGTTGTGTGCAGGAGAGTGACAGGAGTAGGAAGGAAAATGGACAAAATTCGAAAGAGTTACTATGTGTGTTTCCTTAAATTAAAGTGTGACACATTTGCTTAAAATAAAATTTTATATTCTGTTTACCAAGGTTATTATAAGTTCACCATAGATGATCCTAAGACTGAATGAAGCTGATTTTAAATATTATTTTATGAAATAACCAAATTTGACTCTTAATAGTATTGTCATAATGTCACACAAGTTGTTTTGATAAACTAAGCATGTTTTACAATACGTTTGAGTCATTGGTCCCCCAGTAGACCTGAAATTTATTACTCAGAGGAGAAGCATGCATTTACAGTATATTCTTAGCTGCTGCTTGCTTTCTGTCACTCAGCTGTCAAGTCCTATGGAATCTAAAATAGACCTGACCAATGGGAGAAAGCCTCCACACTGTTTACAGATGATTCGGATGTGGTCAGTTTTATCCAGCATTACAGCGTCTCTGCTGCAGTGTTGAGGCAGCAGGATGCAGAGTGCACTTCAGATTTTCCACTGGAGTCCCTGACAGGGAAGCTTTGAAGAACAGTTTCTAAAGAATAAGAAATAGGAGGAGTTACAGTACCTGACTTGGGGCTGCTCTTATTCAAATTCTGCACAGCAAGGAAGATAATTTTCAGACGTTATGAAGGCGGAGAAGGATCCCGAAGATGAAGAAAATATCGTTAGAGATCCAAGCTAAGTGTAGCACAGCATGGGGATTGGCGAACAGGAAGAGTTGTAAAGAGAGGGCCAAGTCACACTGATTAGGAGTTTGTCTGCTGGCTTGCTTTGTCAGCTACAGAGATTTGTAACTTAATTTGTAGTCGTTTGCTGTTAGCAACAAAAACTAAGTTCTGTCTATGATGAACTGTTGGTTTTCTTGTGCTCCTAAGAACAAAGTAGGTATCCCTGTAGTCCGGTGTAACAAAAGATTCTGTTAAGCTTTGTGAACTGTATTCGTTTAAAATGTACTGCTGTTTTATTAATTTTGGTTTCTTTGTCATATTCTTTCTGATTTATCTAATTGGGGTTAGTAATAGAAACAAAAAGTTCTTGTTTCTTTTTCTAGGTTTAAAAATCATATAGTAGAATCTCCACCCACCCCCACCCCCAATGTAGTAGAATCTTAATAACTGAGCAGTATTTCTGTTAACTGACAGTTGAGCAAAAGGGAAAACTGCGCTTGGTGGCGTCGAAGTGAAAATCACATGATAATATGAGACTAATCACCTTTAATTATCTTTTTATAAGTCTTACTTTCGGATTTTATCATTTTTTTAGTGTTTTAAATAGCTCCTTTCTTTACCAGCAAATTTACTTGGAAATAAATTTGAGATTGCTTTAATTGCAAGGATAACTTAATCAATTTAGATCAAGTATTTGTGTGACTTAATACCTTAGGTGTTTGAAAACATAGTATCCGAGACCTACATCTACTACTATTCTTCAATTTAGAGTCAGTAAACTGTTTGTTTTGTTTTAAAGCTAAAGAAAGCAGATACCTAAAATGTAGTTTAGCCTTTGAGTCAATAAGTAGAACTATCTCTACTCATAGATGTCAGTTTGAATTTTTGAAATTAGAAGGAAGTGGGTTCATCTCCAAATTTGATGAATTTAGAGACAACAATTTTGAAGTCTGTGTAGGTACTTGAACCAGATTCTATTTCAGGAGTGGGTTAAAATTTTAAGGTATTTATTTTTTTCCATATTTAACTTTCATATTTATTTTTTACTTCAAGTATTTAATAAATACATTGCTTATTTAGCTAGAAAATTGGCAATTTTTTTCTTTCAGTTTGGAGGGGATAGTAGATATAAAATAATCATATTGATCAAACACTTAGAGGATATGCCTCATATAAGTGATTAATTCCCCCCCCCCCCAGAAATTTATTATGGTATTTATGGACATAGGAATTGCTTTGTCAGTTAAGTCAAAGACATGTATATCACTTTTTGCCCTAGAAATAATACTGGACCTAACACGGAATTTAGCAATAAGTTTACTCTATAATATTTTAAAAGGCTAAAATAATGTATATTTTAGTTCTGGGTTCTACATTTCTGCTTACTAAGAGAAGATCCAAGTTTTTGGTTTCAGAATGTCTTGAATATGTTTTCTCCTATCAAAGCTAGGTTTGATTTGATTAGACCATATTTTAAAAATTCCTTTTTTTCTTCCTTGTAAATACATGTACAGTGAGCTTTTGTTAAAATTAAAAATCTTTTTTTAAAACAAAAATAATGTATGTTGAAGGTAAATAAGAAGGAAGAAAATGAAAGTCACCTGTATCTATTATTTTAGGATTTTTAAGTAGTTACTACTTCAGAGTCTTTTGTAGAGTTTTTTCCTATGTAGAAGTTTCTTTTTACCCTAATATAAGCATAATGAATTGCTTTCTCTGTTGAGTGTGTGTCTGTGTATAATTTGCCTTTTACTAAAGTTGAGAAGGAGGTTTTAGTTGTTGTTTTTAAATATGTTTTGATTTTTAGAGAGAGAGGAAGGGAGAGGGATAGATAGAAACATCGATGAGAAAAGAACATCATCCATCAACTGCTTCCTGCACATCCGAGCCCGCAACTCAGGCATGTGCCCTGATCAGGAATCAACCTTGACCTCTTGGTTCCTGGGTCAATGCTCAACCACTGGACAGGACGGAGTTTTTAAAATGTGTGCAGAATTCTGCATCTAAAAGGTTTTGAAACAGATGTAACCAGAACCAAATCTGAAAGCATGAGTTAGAGATAGGAAAAGCACACTGATTGTGGAAATCATGAGAAATCATGGTTGGGCTTGGCCATTTAAGTCATTTAATGTACCTGGGGCCTTGACTTTTCATCTGTTAATTGGGATGATAGTTTTAGTTTACTAGGGTTGTTTAAGTAATTTATGCCTGGCACATCAATTATTAATTTTCTTTCTTTGTTCCGAAGGCAAAGAAAACAAAGCAGAGAACATGAGAAATATGCTTTTTCTCAAAAATCTAATTTAATATAGTTCTTCTTTATCATGTTTCTGAAACGTTCTCTCTGTGAAATTAGCACAGCAGGGAGAAGGAAATTTGGGATGCAGTTGGAAACGAGTGATGTATATGCAATATTGCTTTTCCTTTCTTCTTTAGTATATGATGTTTACTATTTTTTAAATTTTGTAGCATGCAGCAGATTGGAACAAATATGATGACCGATTGATGAAAGCAGCAGAAAGGGGAGATGTAGAAAAAGTGTCCTCAATCCTTGCCAAAAAGGGGGTCAATCCAGGCAAGCTAGATGTGGAAGGCAGATCTGTGTAAGTATTATTGATGATAATTTCCTAAAGGGAATTTGGGAAACAAATGAAGTTTGTAAATTGTGGTTATCAACTTTTTAAATTAAGAAGTATCAAATCTGACATTATAAAATCTTACGAACATCACTTTTAAACATTGTTCTCAATTTGAAAGATTTCCAAGCTAGAGAGAGAATACTAAAGTACTACCTGTAGTCTAGTTCTTTAGGCCTTGTGGCAAAACACAGCCTGCATTATTTAGTGCATTTGCTCTATAACTTTTTTTATGTTCCTTATCATATTTAATCCTCGCAGTGGCCCTCTAAAAGAAGTAGGAAATGTTTACAGAGCTGGGATATGAAACCAAGTTTCTGTCTTGAAAAGAGTTCTATAAACTGCACTGTCTTTTCCTCAAAACTCCCAATTCATTTGTATATTTGGGGAAATGAGAATTAAATTTAGTTTAAATGAAAATGTTTATAGTAAAAAGGAAGGCAGAATAGCTTGTGTGGCTCAGGGTGACATAGGCAGAGATCCTTCCCTTTGCTGCTGTGTCACTGAGGACTACTGGCTTGTTTACATGATCTTTTCTCCTCTCCCTCCTCAGTGTTCATCACTTCCCTTTCTGCTTAAGATGGGGGTCAGTTGAGTTAAAGGGTAAACTCTAGGTTCTGTTACTATCATCTATAATTATAGCAGTTAAAACCAAATCTGGGAAACCTTCCAAAGTTAGAGCTGAAAAGTCTCATTTCCTGAAATTTCTCTCAGTCTTATATTTGCATGTATTTATTTAGAATATCATGACTGGCAACCAGATATTAAATATAGCAATGAATATTAAGAAAGGGACAGTTAATTCTTTTTTTATGTCTTTACATCCTTTTGTTTATTTATTTTTAAATCTTTATTGTTGAAAGTATTACATATGTCCCCTTTTCTCCCCATTGTCCTCTTCTAGCCTGTCCCTGCCCTTCATCCTCTACCCCTGGCCTTCACCAACTATTGTCTGGGCCCATGGGTTACGGTTGATCTCTTCCTCCTCCCACCCCTTCTCTCTGAGATTCCACAGTCTGTCCCATGCTTCTATGTCTCTGGATTATTTTGGTGAATAGTTAATTCTTGATATGGGTCACTATCTTAGAATGCTTAGATATTTGAGAATAGTAAAAATAACAAAGCATGACTTAAAAAATAGTTTTTAAGAGCAATAAAGTTTGAAAAGTTTCAGTTTATTCTTTTAATTTTATCCAGTAGGCAATTTGATAGCTACAGAAACATTGGTTATTTTGAGTCCTACTCCTTCCTATTTTGACTAAATTTTAAGCTATTTATAGGGCTCACAGTATAAATGGTGAAACCTTAATATTTAAAACTGACTTTGTTTTTCATTTTTCTTGTTTTCCCTAAATACCAAGATGTTAAAAAATGAAGGGAATCTTCTTTGTGATTGAAAATCTTCACTGAAACCTTTCTTCAATTTTGCCTGTCCATGCTTTCAGTGTTTTGAATTAATGGTTGCTTGAGTTTTTACTCAGATTTTTTTTGGATCTAGATCAATTTTGAGTGAAATTATTTATACTAAAGGTCAAAGTTATAAAAACTTGATATAATTTGATGAACTATGAACATAATTTTGTGAAATATTTGAGTTATTTTTGAGGTTTTTACTATAAGAAATAGAGTTCTTTCTGGGATTTGTAGGATGAAATATTTTACTTTCGTTACTCACAAACTGCATTCTCCCTTAATTAAAGCATTTTATACTTAGTCAAATACAACCTGTTACAAATATATTTTGTGTATAATGTATAATTATAAAAATAATTTTATTTTGGATGATTTGGGCGAGGGGGTTTAATTTGAAAATTTAAGACAAAAGCAACAAGTGCTCCTTTAACTCAATCTAATTTCAAAAACAAGATATTTGGAGCCTGGCCATAGTCACTGCAAGGATCTGTTTTCTTCCTGTTCACTTCTCTCCTAGGTTGCAGTCCTTTGCCAATGCAAAAGGGTCAGATTCACCAAGAAACCTCCCTGCCACGTGGAGAGCTATGGATTCCAATTCCCATCTCCCCAACCCCTCAAGCTGTCAGATGTGCTGTTCAGCTTTTCAGATGTTTTCTCTGGAATCAGCAATTACTCCTAGCCAAAAATAGCCTCGAACACCAAGCCCTCCTCCTCTCTGGGCCTCTGGCCTCATAATTTTTCACTATCTTGTTAGCTTACTGCTGACTTCATACTTATGTCTTATATTTTATGTAGCTTTTCTATTTGTCCTCAGAGGTAGGGATTGTCCAAATTTTCTGCATTTCTGTTATGGAAGTAGAAGTAGATGTCTTGTTTTAAAAAAAATGTATTGCCTTTTTTAATTGTAAAAGAGTATTTCTGTAATGCAGTTTTTTTTTTCAAATTTCCTTGACAACTCTGTATATACAATTTAGTGATTGCTATATCTTCTTTCTGATGCACATCTACTTTTAGCATACCAGGATTAATGCATTTTGGATTGTTGAGATTTCTACCCTTTAGTACATCATTAGTGTATAATACTGATTTATTTTGAAGAAAGAACTCTTCCAAATTTTGTAAGCTAAGAAATGAAAACAGGCAAACAAAAACTATCACTAAGATTGTTGGGAGAATAAAAACCTGTGCTTGAAAGAAATTACCATTCTTCAAGAGGTTATAATGGTGCATTGCATAGGATAATTCCCCACTTCTATGCTGCAAAGAGATTAATACCCTCAACCTTATAGCATTTTTAATTCCCGTAAAAGCAGAATTTATCCAACTCTTAAGAATACTATATTCCTTTTATCAGAAATACCTCTTTCTCTCTAATTCAAATTGTACCAAATCTGTTTAATTAGTAGTGCTTGGTCTCTAGTTTGCATTTATATCCATCGTAGAGATGCATGACTAAATGTTGTACTATCTTGAAGTGAATTTGTAAAGTCCAAATTTTGTCTCTAAGCATTCAGTTATTTAAATATTTGAGGGCTCATCATCTGAGTAGGTCAGCGGTTCTCAACCTGTGGATCACGACCCCTTTGGCGGTTGAACATCCCTTTCACAGGGGTCGCCTAAGACCATCCTGCATATCAGATATTTACATTACGATTCATAACAGTAGCAACATTACAGTTATGAAGTAGCAACGAAAATAATTTTATGGTTGG